CTGATGGAACAGTGAGGTGGTCAGGAGTTGCCAGAAGGCATGAAGGGGGCTGCCTGGGTTTGAAATTCACCATTTATTGACTCTGAGACCCAGGAAACCTCTTTAACCTTCTACAGCCTCCATGGATTTATCTGTAAAATTCTGGTAACAAAGGCAAGAGCATCATCATGGGGGCTCCATAAGGATCAGATAGTAAAACTGGGGAGGGTGGTTAGAACAGTGCTTTGACTTTAGTTTTATTCGGATCAATTAAGGAAGAGGTAATTTTTGCTTCATTGTCATTATTTCAAGAGAAACCTACCAATGTTGTTCATGACCCAGCTCAGACTAGGAAAAAAAGTCACTATTCCAAGGGGCTTAGACAAAGAATTAAGGAGAAAAAATTCTGAAAGTATTGAATAAATTGTTTTTTGTTTTTTTGCTTAAGACACTTTGTGTTGATTTTATTTTATTTTTTCCTTGGGCATTTATTTCTTCTTTATGACTCACTATGATTTTTAAATTCTCTAAAATGAATCCTTTTTTGTGTGTTGATTTTAATCTTTTCTGAAAATACCAGTCAAAAATTGACAATACCATCTGTTGGTTACTTTCAAGATGGACAAAGAGGCAAGATCCCTTTGAGAAGCTACCAACTCTACACTCAGGTGCTACTGATACAGAAAAGCGGTCCTGGAAGCTGTTGTCTGTTTCGTTTTGGGACTGCATCTGGATCCCACCAATATTGGAGCTCTTGAAACTCATAGGGAGAAGCTAAGTTAATAGAGTATGGGTACTTCAGTTCTGCTATTACAATCAAGTCCTATAAGAAACAAATAAGCTTTGATTCAAGTTGAAAGAAAGAAGAACACATGGTCTTGTTAAGAGAAGCAAATATTTTATGGTCTAAGATGCTAAATCATTCACTAGGAAGCAGGCAGGAAAACCAAAGGAAGAATGGGATTCACTTCCTCACTCTTCCCTCACAAATCCCATGGAGCACCAGCAACCCTAAAGAGGAACCGGTCATCCTGATGGTAAATTTATATCCACTGGAGGGAAAAGTATCAAAGTCATATTTATTTGCCTAGTCAAGTCAACTGATTAGAATGGAAACAATTTGATAAATGCATCTCCATGCATCTTGATGTATATAGTTAAAGGAAATGAAGGGTTCAGACTTGCAGAGTTTCTGTTAGTAGTCTCACTGAAAGGGGAGCACACCTAACTGTTTCACAAGGTAAGTGCTCCAGTATGTTCAGAAATGCAAATCATATAAAGGGAAAAAGAATTTCTGGAATCGGACTTCTCAAAAATGAAATATTAGGCACTATAGTCTGCATCATAGATACTGAGAGGATATTGTGCTTGTTTCTTTACCTACTTTCAGCACACAGTTCCTATCCACAGTGGTCATTTCCAACTATCTTTGTGATAATGGTCTCTTCTCTATCCCAATTGCCTCCTCCGCACCCTCGTACTTGAGGCAGGCTTCCAATTGTAGGCTAATCATTCTTGCCCTTTTTTCTACTGTCTTTGGGCATTAGTCTCATATTATGTTTTTTTTTAATATTCCACAAATGAGTGTAATAATTTTATGACTGTCCTTCTTCTGACTCATTTCACTCAGCATGATACTCCTCATGTCCATTTATGTATAAGCGAATTTCATAACTTCGTTTTTCTTAACTGCCGCATAGTATTCCAATGTGTAGACGTACCATAGTTACTATAAGCAGTCGTCTGTTCTTGGGTATGTGGGTTGTTTCCAAATTCTGGCTAGTATTACAGTAAACATATAAGTGCAGATGTTATTTCTGCACTGTGTTTTGGGGCCCCCAGAGAGAGGGGGGAAGCAGTAAGGGTAGAGAGAGGGATACAGAGGGGGAAAGAAGGAAAGTGCCTGCCATAGAGCCATAGAGGCAGGCGGGAGGGGTGGTAGTAGGAGGGAAACTGAGTCATTGGTTTTGGGAAATGGGCACTGGTGGAGGGATGGGTGTTGGATCATTGTATGACTGAAACCTGATCATGAATGGCTTTGTAACTGTATCTCATGGTGATTCAATTAAAAAGTTCAATATTTTAAAAATCAGTAAATAAATGAAATACAAAAAAGAGAGAAATTTTAGAATAGCTCCTATGAAAAATAATGCATTCAGAAACTACTAATTAAAAAAAGTTTCTCCTAAGTATTTTGTATATTCTTACACTATTGAATCAACCTTATACATAAGGGAGAATTTTTCCTGGTCTTTCCTGACATCTAGAGGTCACCTGAAATTCTCCCATTTTAAAGCCAGCATCAGAACATCTGCAAATCTCCCATTTTTGATTTCCATTTCTATCATTACAATTCCCCCAACTCTGATTTCACCTCCTCTAATAAGGACTCTCAAAAACACATTTAATTCTAAGACATTATCCAGGAGAAACCTTCCATTTCAAGATTCTTTGTATTATGCATGCTAAGTTCCTTTTAATAAGAAAGTAATACAGCCACAAGGTTCAGGGATTTGGATGTGGACTTCTTTGGGAGCCATTATTCTGTCTAAAAATGCCCTTGAAAGGGTGGAAAACATTCCCCTGGACAGAGAAGCTTTGTCCTCTTGAATAAAGGTAGCCAACATGTAAGCATGGTAAAGCTTCAACTTCTTACGGCTCAAAAAAAAACCTTGCCAACCCAGAGGACTATAACCTGAAAGGCCCTGGCCTTTTGTATTTTTTACAAAACTGCCAGCCCCACCTCTCTTAATGTGTAAAACACTGGTAATTCAGAACAAAGCTGACAACAAAGCTGAGAGTGGGTAGGCGTTCTCCCTAACCCACACTGCCCTAAAAATCACCATGACAGTTCTGAGCTGATCACTAGCTGGAAAGGAATAGAAACCCATTCCAAGTAAAGAGGCTGAACATTCTAGGAAAGGCCACTTATATCCCACCCCTTGACTCGACTATTCTTCCCTCTTCCTTGCAGAATGGCATAAAAGCTAGCACCCAAGGGCCATAGAGCAGTCTGCTCTCCCGCTGCTCACACCTGTCGCTATGGTGTGCTGCTGTTTCCTCCTTCTTTCAATAGATTCACTTGGCGTTCGAAGATTTGACTGGAACATTTATAAATTCTTTTGCCATTGGCCCTAAGAGTCTTTTTCTACCCCAAATCCTCATCAAGATGTTTCTTTTCCTTGTGAGACCACATCTCCACTCAGGCCTGTGGACTCCCGAAGACTCTAAATTGATGTGCTGATAAATGTCTAACAACAGATTCTCCAAAACCAGAAATCAAATAAATAAAAGGTTTTGAGCTGTAGCATTTGCAATTTGTATGGTTTAAAGACTTGCAGCAAAGCCAATTTCAAGCTATTGGTTTCTCTGAATGGAGCCAGATGCACACCAACCTAAACACTATAATAAATTACCACAGAACCTAGAAAAAACAAAACCAAAATGAACTGAAGATAAACTAATTAGGGCATAATAAGCCTTGATCATTATTTTATTTTTTAAGTTTTTATCTTAATCTAAGAAATTTATATGAATATATGTTAGTTATATGAATATATAAGTTAGTAATAAAACAAGTATATCAAACTTTAAGAGTTTGCTCTTAATACTGATTCCTGAACACAACTGTATGGTAGATATATAATACTTGTCTATGTGAAAAACAATATATTCACTGATGGTTTATTGAAGTGCATTAGCTGTCAGTTATTTCCTTGGTTTTTCTTCACTCAACTTTAGTTATAAAATAAGAGTGTGTAGGATTTATCAATATTCCCTCTTCTCCCTGCCTCTAAGTACTTTTTATTGAGATTCAAACCTGGGATAAAAAGATTTTGAACATTACCAATCTCTCTGTTAAAGGGCACAAAAAAGACATTTTTAAAAAGTTCAGATTTACTTTTGTTTGGTTCTCTTTATTATTATTTTGTTTAATCCTTCAGCTAGTGTCAGCTTGAGTGGGAGTTAAGTTGATATAGAAAATATTGAAAATATGTAAGTACTTTATATAAAATACAAGTTGTATCTTAAAAATAAAATAAGCATTAGGAATATGCTGTTATCTTGATTTGTGATTTTTTTCCATTCTCATAGTATATGAAGGACTATCATGTTAATCTTTGAAATTTTAAAAACTTTTGTTATAAGTTTGATGATAGCAGAACAACCCTTTTTTTTCCATTGGCAAGAAGACATAGTGCTGAGGGTATTCCAGTTTGTTCCTCTCCATGGTCTTATAGTTGAAGGTAATTAGGTATGTATTCTACAACTTTTCTTATTATTATACAAATTCCCACCAGGTCCACACCACAGCGAACCTGTATTAAGTCAAGTAAAATTGACATTATTGAAATCTTTCAGCCATCATTCAGATTTAAAACATTAATTCCAAGTCCTGGGAAGAAAAAGTTCTGAAGGAAAGTCTACATGTAACAGTGGGATCATCAGAGATGAATTATCTGCCTAGAAGGGTTTTTAAAAAGCACTCCGAAGTCAATGGGCCTTTTCCTCATTGGTAATAAAATAAAATTCTGCAGACAAGTTAACACTTTTCAGGGAAGGGTCAGGAATATATGTCTGCATGGAAGAGCCATAATTGTTAAATGTCAAGGAATATGAAGAAAATGTGAGGAGGCAGAAGGAATAGCATTTTATGGTCTTGCACATATTCTGTAGCATTTTATTTGCTACAGTAACAGGAAATATCAGACAAATGGAATGAATATATATATATATATATATATAATGGTCTTCATAAATAAAACAATGCGATTTTCCTGAGGCATATCAGATGACAAATGTGTGATTTTTATTAACTTACATGAAACTAATGAATAAACATACTCAATTTATACTAGCATGACTTAGAAGCATAAAATCTATGTAGACGTTTTTATAGCCACACTTATCAATTTTGATTGGGATCAAAATTCAGAGCCACAATCAATGAATATTATATTCGACAACCATAATATAAGAATGAGCCTTTCAAGGCAGTGCTAATTTCAGGATGTACTTACACACTTCCTGTGGTAGAGCTGCTATCAGTAAGGAAAGAGCCATTAGTCCTTTCCATTTGGGCCAGTCTGAAAAAAAAAAATAAGATTAGTAAGATGGTCACAGGGACAAAGTCCAGTGGCAGTTGATCCTCAGTCAGTATGAAGCTCATAATTCTGACAAAATACAGAAAGAATCAAATTTCTTAACAAGGTTGTAAATAGAAAAGGTAATGTTGAGTTACATTTTTATCATCACTACCTTAAGGCATTATCTGACACTATGAAATCCAGTCTCCTAATTGATCTTCCAGATCTTGGAGAATCTTCCTCCTCACACCAATCTGATTAAGTGCCTCATGTTCAAAAACTCCCTTCTCCTACGGATGTAATCCAGTTCATTAGTGAGCAGACCTTTCATTACTGAGCTTCGGCTTCTGTTTGTCCTATCATGCTTACTCCTTCCTCTATTTGCAGTTTTTTTTTTTTAGTGAGTCATGTTCTTTTCTAGCTCAATGCTTTTCAGTATATTTTTAAAATTAATCCAAGCCTTTCCTTCCCCACAGATCCTATTTGACCAAAACCCAGTTCCAATGCCACTATTTCTGTGATGTTCAAATAACTTCTTTTAGGCATAGTTAGTTACAATTTACCATAGACAGACAATACACACACACACACACACACACACACACACACACACACTCACGCTTCTGGAAATTTGTACACAGCATCAAGACCAGCCTATATATAATGTCATTTGGGGAGTTTAAAATAAAATGTAGTACTTTAGCACTGTCCTCCCATTGCTCATCGATTTGCTTGAGCGGGTACCAGTAATATCTCCATTGTGAGACTTGTTGTTACTGTTCTTGGCATATGAATACGCCACAGAGAGCTTTCCAGGCTCTGCAGTGCGGGCAGGATACTCTCGGTAGCTTGTTGGGCTCTTTAAAAGGGATGGAGGAATCGAACCTGGGTTGGCTGTGTGCAAGGCAAACACACTACCCGCTGTGCTACCACTCCAGCCCTTAATAAAGTACGATAATAAAACATTGGCATAAATGTAATTAAATGTTGCAACTCATAAACACAAAACTTGAGAACACTTTAAAATTACTTTATTCACTGAAACTGAGTTACATTATCTCAATCTTGCCTAGAAGATGCCAGAGTTCTCATGATCTCAATAATCAGATCTTACTGAGGATTACTTGCCACAAAATAAACTGCAGATATGTGGAAAAATGCAAATAATAATATGGGAAGATGGGAGTCCAAATTTCAAGTATGAGAAAACCAGAACTCCTTTAAATCAACATCCCTTAAATCAAGGCATGCTGATGGTGTAGGACTGATAAGAGAATTAAATCCATTCTGGATGGCCGTGCAGGGAACTATCAACTCTTACCGTGTGGCATACTGTTCTATTCTTGAATGGGTGTCATCATGAAACAGCTGAGGAGACTGTGAGGGGCTATAAAGAAAAAAAAAACAGAAAGAATGTTATGTCCAAATACTGACAGACGTTACTTTACGGGTGTTAGCTTGGTTAAATAATAATTTTGTCATGCAAATAAACGACTTGGATTATCACCCAGGAGGCAGAATTATTATTTCAGAACAGAGATTAGTAAACACCCCCATGCTAGGAAAATGGATCAGAATATCGTCTTTTGCTTTGAGAGCGATGGATACTCACTCGTAGTGTTCTGGCCACATACTGATGAGAGTGATAGGACTGCAGAGAGGGAACAGGGAAACAAAAGTCACAAGAGCAACACTTCAGTGCAACGCAATGTCAGACAAAAACAGTGGGGCCTGCGTAAGAACACGGGTGTTTGTTTTCCCTTCATGTACCGATTTGCTTGAAGCTCACCAAGGGGAAATCAAAAGCAATGGGAGTTACTGTTTATTCGAAGGAAAATGTTATATATTCCAGTGCCTGCAGGGGCCTTTCTGCAGATATTAACAGGATATTTGTTACAGGACAGCAAACACATCTTTAAATAGTTGTATTGAAGAAAAGAAGCAGACGGCTTGAAAATAGCACAAAATCATGGAATCTTTTTATAGATAATAATGCTCCATAATAAACAGAGCAGAGATACAAATCTTATTTGTGCTTTTCCTGAAGAAGAAATCTGATCAGAAAGACAAAGTTAAATACCAAAGGTTCTATGATATATTGATGGCAGAGTTGCAGCAAAATGAGATTTTGGCTGGGGATTCTTTGTCCAATTTTATACATAAAGATTCGAATCCAGTGTACACAAATCTCTCAACAGACACACTGAAAAAGATATCCTCTACATATTTTCCCATATCCCACGAAAAATTTAGGATTACTGATAAAACTGAAAGCAATTCTCTAGAACGTAATTTTTGTTAATTGAATCACTATGAATTGCAGAGTTGCAAAGTTATTATTTATTATTTTCAGGTTCATGATGTTCCCAAACCAATCCCATTACCAGCGCCCACTTTCCTCCACCAATGTCCATTCCCCCCCTCCCCCCAGTCTGCCTAGAGGAGGCATCCCTCCTCTCTGCACTGACCATTGTTCAGAGGTTCCCATCCCTAGTTTATGCCCCCTCCCCAATCCCCAATCTTAGTGGCAGCTTCCACTTGAACTAGTTCTGCTCATCTTTTCTATTGTCTTGGGCCTTTGTGATTCTCTTATGAAGTTCCACATAAGAGAGAGAGAGAGAGATCATTTTGGGTTTTAGACCATGGTATACTTCAAGCAGAATTTTAACCACCAGTTCAAACTCTGTTATGTATAAAAGAAAATGCTTTTATGCATTTGAGTCTGCTTGGCAATCTGGGGTTTGAGCAGTTTCATTGCAACTTCTGGGGGCAACCCCAATATCACAGCACTGCCTAAAATCCTCAAGTGTCTGGGATACATGGCCTGAGAAAAACTGATCCTAATTAAAATTAGGATCTAATTTGATCCTACTTCAAATTATAGTCTTTTCATTGGTAAGGAACTGTAACAATGAAGATGAATATTTAAATTCAGATCTTGATTTAATGACAGTCTCCTGCAAAGCTAAGGCTGATGAAAACAAAGAGGAAAACAAAGATTATGTAGCCCTGCTTGATACTTCTATTTCTTATGTACTTATTCTATACACACACAAAAGAAAAATCAATAATCTCACACATCTTCACTGGAAGCAAAAATTGATACCTGGATATGAAAAATCATGTTATTGGAATAAAACACTAAGATTCTTTGGATCTACTTTCAAAACAAACATTTACTCACTTAGTATTTGCCAGAATACCTATACTGTAAATAAACCTAATCGTCCATAAGTAAAACAGATAAAACAACAGAGTACTATTAAGTTGCCTATTATAACTCTACTTTTCATTAACTCTGATAGATGTTAAATGCAGGTAATTGATCTGTTATTTCCTTCCTTCCTTCCTTCCTTCCTTCCTTCCTTCCTTCCTTCCTTCCTTTTTTCCTTTCTTCCTTTCTCCCTCCTTGAGCTCCAAGTGTTCTTTCTTTCTTTCTTTCTTTCTTTCTTTCTTTCTTTCTTTCTTTCTTTCTTTCTCTCTTTCTTCCTCTCTCTTTCTCTCTCTCTCTCTTTCTTTCTCCTCCCTCCCTCCTTCCTCCCTCCCACCTTCTCCCTCCCTCCCTCCCTGAGCCCCAAGTGTTGCTCAGAAATACTCCCAGCTCTGTTTTCGGGGGCCAGAGGTTCACTACTGACAGTATTCGGTGGATTATGCAGTGCCAAGGGAGAGTCCTGACCTCTTGCATGCACTGCATGTGCTCCAGCCCACTGCAGTTTCTCTCCAGGCCATGTGCAATACATTTCCTAAAAATAATAACTGTTCTGAAGCTCATTTTGAAAACTCAATGGTACCATAAAGTTTACCATGAGCTTTAAGCATAAGAAAATATGTATTGGGGATCATAATTGAACTCAGAGAAGCTTCAAGAACTGCTTGACTGGTTCTTGTGAAGTTAATTCAGTTAGTACAAAAGTGATTCATTGAAGTAAGATAAGAATGGCAGAGGAAAAAAGCTGAACTGAAGAGGTTCTCAAAAGAAATTTTTTTTATTATATGAAAGAAGTTTCTATGAAAAAGCAATAAAGATAAGAAACAAACTTTAGGCTCCATTGATTTTAAAGAATTTTGATATGGAGCAGGGGGTTAAGAAGACGTGATTAGCCTTCTCAATTAATTCTGGAAAGAACAAAACAAGGCATATCCCCATAATAAGTCTAATCTCTGATTAAAGGTGGTTAAAAATAAGACCCAAAATTTGTGTGTTAGGGCAGACTGGAAAATTCAGACAATCTCTTCTTTCTGGAATGGTGGCTAAATATGGTGTTATGATCAACAGCCCATTAATGTGGAAGGAATCAATACTTAACCCATCAAATGTATCCCAGAGTTTCCGAAAAGAATTTAGTGGCCCTTAAGTTCTCAGTTCCAATTCTTATAGCTTTCTTCAATTCATTTGCCCTTAAGTAAAGTGAGGCCCTAGCAGAATCTGAACTAAATAACCCTCAATGGTTCCCCTAACCCTTCCAGAAAAAAATCCAAACACCCCAGTACGCCGCTGGAGGCTCTTTGATACCTGGTTTCTACCATCTTTCCATTTCATTTCTGGCCATTATTTCCAGCTTCTCCATTTGCAAAATCTACCCTCTGTCCAGGCTTTGTAAATATTTCTCTTGTCCCCACACCTCACACCAAATGCCAAACATTCTGCCCATTCATCTCTGAGGTCTTAATGACATTTCCTCCAGTGTGCCTACTTCCTCTGACCTGAGTCTTGCTATGAAAACCCTTTAAAAACCAAGAAACACATCTATTCCACTTTAACCAATATTAGGGAGAGGTACTTATTTATCTTTTCTAATCAGTAGGGAAATCAATGAATATGCTCTCAAATTATCATGTCACCATTTTAGCTTGCTGGTTAGGTATATTTTCAGTGGGAGCATTTTAATCAAGCTCTGCTCATTATTTTTGAAAAAAAGCTTGCATAAATAGTTATAAAATTAATTGAATAAAACTTAACATTGGGATTGTTTACCTCCTGTTAATAATAACCCATTTTTTTCTGCAAATCCCTTCCATGCATGCACGATAATTACTGGATGGGGATAAAACATTACATTTTGCAAGGATGAAAGAGAAGAGAAAATAATTCTAATCAGCTTCATAAATAACTTCAACATATTTACCACCTCACTGGTTTTTCTCCAATGTTCTCTCCTCCCACAAATAGGAGAGGCGAAATCAACTTTTTACTACCCACTCACATAAATTGTTACACCAGAAGATTAAGTGGCCTTGTGATAGGGTACTACAAAAAAAATGAGTCCTGCTGAATCCAAGAACTCATTCTAGGATTAAGAAAAGCAAGAAAACTGCCCACTCTATCCAATAGCTCATAAATCTTTTTCAAACAGAGTCTTAAGATACTTGGTTTAATCTTATACTCCTTTCTTTTTCTTGTTTTCCTCTCATCAAAAATGCTAGTAAATTCTGTAAGATGAAGCATTTTCAAAGTCAGAACCAAAAATAATGGCACAAAATTAATTAGCATACTTTGTTTTTCTTTTTCACTCTGAGTCACTCAGAATAGAATGACTAATGTTATTGACAATTAAAGGCAAGTGAGCAAAAATTCCTTAAAGATGTATAATATACTGAACTACATAATTCATACAGAGAACACTGATATTTGGGACATAGAATGCCAATGGCTTGTTGAAACAGTAAAAGGTATATCACTGGTTCAAGCCAATTAAATCATCCTATAAATAACTGCACCGTGTGATGATTCTATGCTTCGGGCAGTTACTGAAGGTTAAGGAGATATGATGCCAATAAATGAAAGATAATTTTTATCATGAGGTATTCAGCACAGAGAAGCTATGCATTAGACATAAAAATCAAATGAAAATTTATTATTATATAGGATCTCAAAGAAAAATTATACCCACTCAAAACACAAAAACAAAAACAATAGACCAAAAACCTATCTTTGCAAAGGAACTACTAGGATTAGCTCTTTATTTTTTTATGTATGCATTCATGTGTTTATTTGCTTTGGGGGCCATGCCTGGTGGTGCTAAGGACTTACTCCTTGCTCATGGATCACTACTAGCACTACTTAGGGGTCCATATGCAGTTCCAGGAATCAAACTGGCATTGTATACTGCAAGCACTAGCCTTAAGACCTGTTCTATCTCTCTGACCTCAAACAGCTCTCTAAATTTAAACAGTTTTAATAAAATTGCATTCCAAAATGTACTACAGGAAAAATGATGTATGTATTATTTGTCTATAATTTAGTATTCAGTAGCACTGCACTGTAGCACTGTCCTCCCATTGTTCATCAATTTCCTCGAGCGGGCACCAGTACCATGTCACAACAAATTTTGAGACTTGTTGTTACTGTTTTTGGCATATCAAATATGTCACGGGGAGCTTGCCAGGCTCTGCCATGAGTATTCAGTATTCAGTAGTTATCAAAATTTTTCATTTTTTCATATAACTTAAATACATACCTAGCAGGTTTTTGGACCTAGTTGCCTATGTACAGCAGGATTATATTTCTTTCTATATTTACCCACATGACTCTATCTAGGGAGGGATAAAGATCATCACCATACTTGGACTGTGATCTACTTCTTAGCTGTTCCACAAGTAACACAGATGTATTTGTATATAAATTTAGTAAAGATCATGGTCTACGGAGCCTTATATGGAAGAAAAGTTTTATCATTTTGCCTCTTTATTTCTACATCTTTGAGATATGGACTGTCATCCTACCCTACTACTGCTCTCTGATTACTTTTCATCTACACAATAAAGTAAATTATGATTGAAGTTGGTTTGACTTTACAAAAATTACACTTAATACATTTCACTATATTTCTTACAATAATTTTTCTCTTCTATACTTCAGAGCATTCCACACGTCCTACTTGGAATTTTTTTTCTAAATTCTGGATGAGGCTTGCACTTCAAGCCTGTGTTTGTCCCTGAACATATATCTGGCTTGCTTGTCTTTATGTTTCTCTGCATAAGTTGTTTTTTTAAATACAACATTTGCCCCACAAATAAATAATTAAAGCCTGAAAGGTGTTTATATGTATCTAGAACTTCACTACTTGTTTTGACTAGGCACTTTGGGAGTTATTAGCAATAAAATTAGTTCATTCTCAAGATTTATGCACAAGAAAGCTGCCTTTGTAGGAATATTTATGCTGGCATTTTATTTTAATTTGAGGGGAGATCTTTGAGTCACACTCCTCTAAATAGAGGGCTGAGTTTGGATTCCGTACCCCTGGCAGGGTTTAGGGGACCATCAGTGACGCTGGGGATAGAAACTGGATCAGACACTAGCGAGAATCTTATGCACTGACTCTAGCCAATGCTGGTATTTTAAAAGTGAATAAATCTTTACTCACAGTTGTTCAGCAATTTAATGTCATTCCCTATATTGCTTTTAGCCTCTTTTAAACAATAATTTTTGTTTCATTTCAGGTTTAAATTCTTATTTTGCTTCATAATCTAACAATTTAGTTATTTTGAAACTTTGTTTCATTTAGGCTTATGAATAAGAAATACATACTTTTTTGGTTGTTGTTGTTCTCAGACAACAACCCTTGATGCTCAAAAATCACTTGATGCACAAGAAGCACTCCTGGTCAGGTTTGGGAGACTAAATTCGGTATTGGGGATTGAGTCTGGGTTGGCTGCACAAGAAAAGTTTCTTAACCCTTGTACTATCTCTCTGAACCTTCAAAATATATACCTAGAAGAATTTTTGTCAATTTCATGGACTCTACAATATTTTGAATATTTCGTTATTTTTATGAACAAGAAAAAAGAAACAGGAATATAATATGATATTTTAATGAGATTTAACATTGCATGCATATGTAGTGAGATATTTTATTATAAAAGTACATTAAAATCTATGAACTTGGGAACAGAGATACTACAGAGTGTAAGGCACTTGCCTTGCACGCACTCAACCGAGGTTAGCTCGCTGGCACTAGATATGGTCCCCTGAGCACCACCAGGAGTGATTCCTGAGCACAGACCCAGGAATAAGCCCCAAGCACAACCTGGTGTGGTCCAAAAAGTAGAGAAACAAACAAAAATATGTGCAGTTAGTAGAAACACAATGTAAAATTTAATAAAACAGTCCCTCAATGGGAAAAAAAGAAAAAAAAGACCACATAACAACACAAATTTTTTAAAAGTATTTTTAGGGAAAGCAGGACCAATAAAAAGGGGGCACATTAATATTTTAAAAAGTTAGGAATCCCTGCAAGATTGAATTTGAAATTTCTGTCACAAAATTGCAAATGGTCAATCTGCTGTAAAGACAGTTCCAAGTTTGACTTTCCTCTAAGACTGAACACCTTGCCAAACTACAATTTTTTTTATAGTAGACTCACTAACTTAATGAGACAGTATCAGATATAAAGAGAAATACTCATTTAAAATATTCAAATCAAACTTACGTTTCTAAGTTGTCACCTTCAAGGACTGTCTGGACAGGCAAGTAGCCAAGCCGAGGATGTTTGGCAAAGTATTTCTTGGATCTGAACTTGTTCTTCAGCACCTTTGTGAAGTCCCGGACATCTTCCCCCGATGTTGTCTGTGAGATGGGAAGGGAAAGACTTATCTCATAATGGAAGGAGATAACTTTGCATTAAATCCAACTGAATGTATATCATTACAATCAGAGACTGTAGCACTGTAGCACTGTCCTCTTATTGTTCATCGATTTGCTCAAGTGGGCCCAGTAACGTCTCCATTGTGAGACTTGTTGTTACTGTGTTTGGCATATCGAATGCATCACGGGTAGCTTGCCAGGCTTTGCTGTGCGGGCAAGATATTCTCGGTAGCTTGCTGGGCTCTCCGAGAGGACGGAGGAATCGAACTCGGATCAGCCAGGTTGGCCGCGTGCAAGGCAAAGACATCAGTTGCAATTGTTCCATGCATTTTTGAAATAACATTAAATTTTATAAAAACATGGCAATCACGGCTTACAATTAAATATAACCAGGAATTAGGCAATGATTTTTTTCTGTTAAAAATAAATAAGATCTCATTTTTTCCCTCAGTATTGAAATAAATGGAACAAAGTGAAATTAACTGTGGCAATGCTCTTGGTCAATTTCTATCACTAAAGTACTTGCAATGTTCTATTAAATACTAGTGGTGATAAACTATTCTTAAATATTATATAGTTTTAACTAAGGTAGATAATGAGGACTAGCTACATGACTTCTTTGAACTTTTTTTATAAGCCAGCATTAAACTGTAGTGTGGAAAGAGGTAAAGCAGAATGAAGAATTAAAAGGTAGACCCATGCTATACTCTACTTTATAAGGACAATGGGAGTTTCTTTGTCATTTCCCAACCATGCAAACATATATTTTATTTGGAATAATATGTTCACAATAGTATACAATATTATTGTTTTTTAAGAGATGGGCTGAGATCCATGCATGTAACTCTCACCATCTCATTTCAACCCAGAAGCTCTCTAGCACCCATTCTTCTTTTTTTATATCTTTGACAGAAGTTTGACAGACATCATTTTTTATTTTTCTGAAGCTAAATTTTAGATATTTACATTAGTACTGGGGAACTGAATCAAAACTCAGGTCTAACACTTAGTGTGGTTGCCCGATCTGCATCTACATAGACCTTCCTCTAATGTCTACAGAACCAGAGACCTTTCCTATAAAAAACAAATTGAGTGCTAAAAATAACAGCCTATCTGTTGCCTGCCATCTTCATTGTCTGCTATCCATTGCTTCCTTCATTACTGGAGATCAAGGACATATTCAAACAAGTTTCACAAACAAAAGATTAACTATACCCAAAGTTGTAAAAGAACTCTAAATCAAGACATAGATAATTTTGTTGTTTCCCATCTGCCTCTATTTTACCGAAGTATGTCATTCACCAATTATTAGCTAATATAAATTTCACCTATCTTTGGTGACTATTAGTAGTTACCTAATTTTAGGAAACTACTGGGGAAAAGCTTGATTATAAAGGCTGGAAGAACAGAGAGCAAAATAAGATCAAGCTATTTATAATTTTAAGTTCACCAATTTTCCCTTTAATTTATAAAAATATAGCAAGGATGGTCCACATTATTGCCAGATCTTGTCATATGACCTGTGATATCAATTTTCCTTTAAAATATAACTGACAATAAAGCACATAAGACATGCACTTGTATGGATACAGATCTCACCAATGTAAAGTAATGTGAAAAAGAAGCTATAAGTGAAAGGAAAAAAATCGAAGGCATTTTGTGGAGGAAAAAGCTACAGTAAGAGATGATCATTTAGAAGTATTGGATTGTACCCGGGCACAAGAGGTAAAATAAATAGAATACAGCTGAGAGCAAAGGACATTTTAAAAGAACGAAGGCTTGGGACACAGCACTTATCATGGAGGTTATTTGGAACTTCTGTAATTGGTATCACAACTGCAGATCATTAAGTTTATATAGAGATGTATCCTACATTTTTAGTAAAGAGAAGGAACAGGAGATATTTTCCATAACAAAAATGTAAAAGACAAGGCCACTAAGCAAGAAGAAGCACTTAAAGTTCCATTTCTTGGTTTGCCATTGGCACTAGCTCTCACTTGGCTCATCTCCATCTAGCAATATAAAGGTCTTCATCTCTTACACTAGTGGTTTTCAAATTGTATTGAAGTCTTCAACTTAAGCAGCCCTGAGAGGTGGGTAGGAGGAAAAGCCAGGTGGATCCAAGGAATAGACCCCATCCACCCATAAGTCTGTCCCACCAGGAAAGTGAGCCGTACAGTGGTTCTCAATATATTGAAAGCTATGGGACTCTCACCAACCATCCACTTCCAGAATATTGCATTACATCAGAAAAGAGTTCCGTATCCATTCAGCATCAAAACTGCTCTCTTTTCTTCCCTCAGCCCCTGACATTTCCTGCTTCTAGTTAACTCTTTTGAACATTTCTTATAAAAGGAATTATACAACATGGTCATTTCTAATGGATTTCTTTCACTTAGCATAATGCTACACTATCTTGTCAATATTTAGGTTTCAATATAAACTCTCAGATAAAAAAATAATACACCATTGGAGAGTGGGAATCCAATTTCAAATTATTCTTTAGCTAAACAAATGTAAGAGATTGAAGGGTAGAGCAAAATCAACCAATAAACAAAGTGTACAATCTTTTTCTTTCACAAGCAGAAAATACTTATCTTCTTTTCCAGAAGTTATAACAAAAGTGGAAGTTAATGCTGAGTTTTCAGTTAAAGCTGACATATATTTTTAAATGAGTGACTTTTCATACACAAATATAACATTTTAATCTCTAAGGCAATTTTAATATTTTTGTAAAAACAGTTATAATTCAATCGTTAATTTCACTAGAGACAAACATTATGTAACATCAAATGAAAGGCAGTTAATCCTACAAAAAACTGATATTAAATTTAGGCAAGCATAATGTAATTCTTCAATTGGGATAGAGCCAAGAAATGAATTAAGCCCATTTTCTCAATGAAAAAGTTAAAAATACATGTACATATTTTATCTAATTTGCTACTGAACAACTCGATGAAGAACGGGAGGACAGTGCTACAGTGCTACTGAACAACAGTATGTAATTTTCCAGATTTTAAAATGCTATTCAGACTCAATTTTATCTTCACTGTAAGTATAATTCTTTTTTTTAAAGCAAAAAAAAAATCCCAGACATTAAGATTTTACCACAAAATTGAAAGAATGAATCATTACTACACAAATTATCCAAGGTTTAAAGTTTTGCATTTCTTCAAAGATTAAGGTTTTCATTTATTACAGTAAGAATTAAGAAGGGCTGGAGGAGAGCTTAAATAGCAGTGCATATCTCTAGCATGCTTAAGGCCCTGAGTTTGATCTCCTACATAACCCAATCATCAGGCCTGAATTGCTGGAAAGAGAGAGAGAGAGAGAGACAGACAGACAGAGAGAGAGAGAGAGAAAGAGAAAGAAAGAAGAAAAGAAAGAGAGAGAAAGAAAGAGAAAGAAAAAGAGGAGAGAGAAAGAGAAAGAAAGAAAGAAGGAAAAAGAGAGAGAAAGCGAAAAAAGAAAGAAAGAAAGAAAGAAAGAAAGAAAGAAAGAAAGAAAGAAAGAAAGAAAGAAAGAAAGAAAGAGGGAGGCAAGAAGGGTAGGAGGGAGAGAAGAAAGGTAGTAGGGAGGGAGGGAGGGAAGGAAAGGGGCAAGAGGGATGGTACAAGGGTTAAGGCACTTGTTTTGCATGTGGCCAAGTCCCATTCAATCCCTGACACCCAGTATGGTTCCCTGGACATTACCAAGAATTATCCCTGAGCATAAACTAGGAGTAATCATGAGCACCACTGGGTATAAATCAAACACTCCCTGCACACATACACAAAAGTTGGGAAAAGGTGAACAAAGATTTTATAAATCAAATGAGATGAAATAAGGATATACTTATATATAATATAAATAAATAGATCTCTCTATGTCTAGTAACTCTTTCCTTCAATCTCATTTAAGGACTGTCAAGTAATTATGACAACTTTTTGATCCCTAGGAATGTAATTTTAGGACTTAGACCTGAAGAGGCAATAAGGACAAAGTTACAATTGCAAATTGGCTCTTTTCACCACACAGTACTCTGTTCCTCCTAGAAAAAAAAATTGATACACTTGAAAGAGAAAAAAATCCATTACCATGGACATCCCTTAGTACATTCCGAATTTCTCTTTTATTTAAAATAAATCCCTTTTTAAACACCCCGTGGCTGATTCTTACAAAATTTATAACAGGTCTTCCTGTTGTTCATCGATTTGCTCGAGTGGGCCCAGTAACATCTCCATCGTGAGACTTGTTGTTACTGTGTTTGGCATATTAAATACGCCATGGGTAGCTTGCCAGGCTTTGACAGGCGGGCAAGATACTCTCGGTAGCTTGCTGGGCTCTCCGAGAGGGGCGGAGGAATAGAACCCCTCTCGGTTGGGTTGGCTGCGCGCAAGGCAAACGCCTTACCGGCTGTTTTTAATGGCATGCACAAGACATGCTCAGTGCAATTACATTTAAAGGGGCTAGAGAGGTAGTCCAGGGTTAAAGCACTTCTTTTAACTGACGCTGGTCTCCAGCACCACATACAGCCCACTGAGTATTGCCGGGGATGACAGATGAACACAGAGCCAAGGATACGCCACGAGCATGTGAGGTGTGTCCCAGTCAAGAAAAATTCTTTGCATCAAAGAGTTTCAGGACAGCAATATCTATCCCTAGACTCTGGCTTAGTCTTCTTCATTTTTTAAATTTTAATTTTTTGGCTTTGGGGCCACACTGGAAATACTCAGCACTTCTTCTTGGCACTGTGGTCAGGGATCATTCCTGGCAGTTGCGGGGAACGTATACAGATCATACTGGGTTAAGCTGCAAGAAAGGAAAGTGCCTTAATCCCTGTAATAATTCTTTGGTCCCTGATTTAGTCTTTTTATATAAACAAATCTTATATGAATTAAATCAATTTGCTTCTTTTTAATTGAGGTAGCAACACCACCTTACCACCAAGTATATTACAACTCTGTATTAGAACGAAGATCACACCACACACCTGGCAATGC